TTTGTAATTCACAGTGATTTCTGAAGAGTTTGTGAATCTTCAATAGAAGTAAACAAAGGTGAAAGAAGTGAATTCAGAAGATATGATAATAATTTGAGAAAGATAATAATTTATTTTCAATAACTGATCACTGATGTGTGTAAGAAGAATTAATATAAGAGAAAATAATCTTGGTTCTTAGCTTAGTTATAATTTTAGTACTAACTCAGATTGAATATCATTGATATATAAAAGGAAATAAATAATCTTGGTTAATCTCTGGCATATTTCTTAAAATATATTAATATTGTGAAAGAGAGTATTATCAAATTATGTTATCAGATGATATCATTAAAAATATATTAATATTGTGAATATCAATGTTGAAAAAATGTTGATACTTATACATTATAGTGATTTGTGAATCATGATAGTTAAATATATATATATATATATATCATTCCTGACTTGATTACAACTTGTACAATAATTTTTGAAAACTCAAAATCAATTTTAATTATTAATAATTAAAAACTTAAACTTATAACTAACTAATATAAAAAGAAAAAAATCTACTTCTTCTCTTTCTCATTCTTCTTATCATTCTTCATAATTCATTTCTCATTCTTCTTCTTCTTCTTCTTCTTCTTCTTCTCCTTCTCCTTATCTGAGATAATAATCATTTCAAAATCTCTCTTCACTGCCTTCTCAGAGAAGGGTTCTCACTGCTTCTTCTTAGTCAGGTCAATCTGTGCCTTAAAATCCTGCATTTCCTGGTCTGCTGTCTCAGGTTCCATCTCAGCAGTAAGCAGATTGACATGCCTAGAGAGCAGGGCTGCCTTCTCAATGTCCTGGATCATGGAGTGCATTTGAGACCTGAACAAGGCCTCAATCCCCTCCTCCTCTGTCAGCTTCTGCTAATCAATTAGAGAACAGAAGTATTATCAAAAATTGTTATCTCTTAATAAAAAACTTATCAGTTTTGACTTCTTTGTCTTTCACTTCAATATCTTCTCAATCTTCTTCTGTTATTACTTATTTACAGTAATACTCTTCTTCTTTCTCTCTCTCTTTATCTTGATCTTAAATTATTCTCAGAACTTCTTCTGATCTCACTGCTGCTGCATGAGACTCTTCACTGTCTTCTTTTTCAATCTCTCACAGATGATGCTATCTACATTATTTCTATACTTAGTTCAGTCTAAATCTATCAGAAGTATTACTTAAAATTATTATCATTCTACTTTCTTACAGAGTCTCTTCAAGGTATTATAATATGTCTTACAATCTGTCTTCTCATGCTTGAACATCTTCTTCTTCTCTCTCTTCAATCTGTGACAGTGCTCACGCGCCTTGATGGTCTGCAGAACTGCAGAATATTTGAAGAGAGATAACATGATTGGTTTTGATAAGTGTTGAGAGAAGAGTGAAGGTAGGTAATGATATGATGATAATAATGATGATGATGATGATGATGATAATGATAATGATGATGATGATAGTGATGATGATAATAATGATGATGATGATGATGATGATGAAAGAAAGAGTGCATCAGAATATATTATTGACTTATTAAACATAAAGAGACAAAGAAACTATTAACAGCTTTCAGAGATGTACAGAAATGACTACAGTGTTATATAGCAACATTATCTTCATTCAATGCATGCACTATTGATATTCTTTGTATGCATTTATCATATAATCTATATCAGAGATACATGCAGAAAACAGATCTTTGTTACTATGAAGAATGATTGCAGCAATTCTCTGTTTTCATATTATAAAGATAAGTTATTCTCATTTCTTTCTTCTCTCTTTTCTCTTCTTCTTCAATTCATCACTAAGTTCAAGCTGATATGAAAACTATTAAAACACTCACAGAAACCCTTAAATTAAAGAGTATAAACTAATCAAATTTTAAATGCAGATGAATCAAATTAATTCAATAATACTAATTATTCATTCTCTTCTTAATAAAACAACAGTCATGTCTTTCTTCTCTCTCTTTAAATGAAACATGGCTTGTGAAAAGTGAGTACTACACCAGGCCATAATGATCAACACAGCCTCAGCACACAGGGCTGTATACACACAGTGTGTGCTGGACTGAGAGACTGCATGAGTTGCAAACCAATGACAGTATCTCAGAAAGAGCCATGCAGTGTGGAAAAGCTGCAACTCTCAGTCACATGCATAGAGGGTGAATCACTGCAGTAAGTGCATATGCATTGTATGAAAGTAACACTTTTTAATAACACTCAGTCTCTGATATCATGAAAATAGAGTCTCTCTGTGAGATTCATTTTTATCAGAAGTCAGAGAATCTTATATTTCTCAAGATCATCTTTACACATCTTGTTCATGAAATCAATGAGAGAAATCATTGATTTCAGTGTTCTGTTCTTGATGTCATTCAAGTGATAGCAGAGTTCACCCTGATCACACTTTTTAAGTGTATGTTTTCTAATTATTCACATTTATACAGATATATACTGATTATTTGTTAGATAATGTTAAGACAATGACTCATCACAGCTGTGTTATTCTCACTATGAGAGATACACAGTTGATGATGAATATTATGAAGACTCTGAAGAGTGAGTATTTTGAGAGTGCTGCAGCTCTGTGACCTTGATTTTTTTTGTTTTTATTTTTTATTTTTTTCTTTTTCTTTTCTTTTTTTTTTTTTTTAATGTGATTTTTTCTTGTGTTTGTTTTGTTTTTTATTTTTTATTTTTTTTTGTATTTTATGTTTTTTTCATAATTAAAATTATATGAATTATGATCTGTGTTCAGAAAAGTAATGATATTTGATAACACTCTCTATTGAATTTTTAATAAATGAGTACTATGTTATGATATTATGTAAGTGAGAAGTGATTTCATGATCTTATTTAATGCTATTCTCAATAATGAGATCAGAATGAAAATGTGACTAAGAATTCAAACATATTCTTTATCTAAGACTAGATTTTTATTTGAAAAGTGAATCTTCTAGTTTCAGCTGTATTATAGATGAGATATTTTCTTTTTACATTTAATTAAACAAGATTTTCACTTGGGTTTTATTTCAAATCTTGAATAATGTATACTCTTCTTTTGTTTCTGTCAGCTTTCATTTCACTTATCTAAACAAGATTCTTTTATTTTTCTCTTTATCAAAGATTAGAACATAATTTTTTGAATAGATCTGCTTAATTCTGAACTCTTTTTTACAGCTTAATCAGTCAAGTCATTGTCATGAATATTTATATAAGCAGAAACTCAGTATAAATGAATTATCAGCTTTAATATTCTTCTCTTTTGAATTTTCAAAACAGAGTTTAAGATCAGTTCAAGATTCATTTAATCATTATAAATCTGACTATTTCTAAGTCTTTTTAAAGCAGCTTGACTATCAGAGAATATTCATGTCTCTTTCAAACTATTTCTCAATGTATGAGATTTTATTTCAATAAGTTTGAAAGCTTTCACTATTATAAATAGTTCAGTATCAAAGACTTCAGATTCACAGTCTAAATTTCAGAAATCTGAGATAAAATTGATATTATCTTCAGTATAAGTAATATCTGCATCTAATCTATTCAAATTCTCATTTTTGAAGTTATCTGAATAAATCAGAATAGAGTCTTCTATATTAATTATAGAAATTCTCTTCAAATGCTGTTTATATTCTTTCTTCTTAAATAGTTCACTTATTTGTAAGTTTATAAGAGATTCAAGCTTTTCTCTTCAGAGAGATATCTTCTCATGATCAACTTTTTCAACATTTAAAGAAGAAAATTGATTTTTAATCAGTGAGTATAGTCTGTACAGTTGAGAAGACATTTTCTTTGAAGAATTATTTTCATTTCAATCAAGAAATCTATTTCAATTCAGTTTATTTTCAGAGTTAATTAATGAAAATGAAGAAGAGACTCTTTCTCTGATTATATAATTTAAGCTCATCTTTATAACTCTCAAAGCATAGTTCATACAGGCCTTTTCAAATCTAATAGCAGGAGAGAGAATTGAAGCTTCAATTTTCATTACTTTAATAGAAGATGATTTGAATGCTCTCAGAATTCTTCTTAAAGCTCTGTTTTACAGACTTTGAAAGAGTTCAGTGAAATTCTCTTAATTATTTCATTAAACTTGAACTTCATAATCAGCTACTGAGGTAATACAGGCTATATATAACTGTCTCATAGCCTGGAAGAATAGACCTCTCTCTGTATTTGATAGTTTAATTATGTTGTTCAATAGTCTTTCTGCCTTGACATGTAAGAATAAGTGCTCGCAGGCAATTATTTGAGTGTTTGCAGCTTGGCGTGATATGTACTGTTAACTACTTCAAGTATTCACAGTAGAAAGATAAAATGTAGAGATTAAATGTATAATAGTATTCAAGCTGAGTTGTGAATAGTATTCACAAACTTCAGTCTATATAGTTGTGTGTAGTCAAGAGCTGCTAACTCTATTAATTATACAAGAGATAGAAATAGAGATAAAGAATCTGTAAGAAGTGAGATTTCTTATATACTCTTCTCTCTCTAAGACTTCATCTGTGAAGTGTTTCACTGAGTGACTTCATAGAATCAGCTCAGCACTGCAGTGATACTCACTAAAAACTCTTCATATCTATAAAAAATCTCAGTGAGGAAAAATCCCTTGTTACTGCAAAGAGAAAAAAGTCTGTTACTTAGTTTCTTATTCTATGAGATTCTTTATAATCTACAGATTCTTCTCTGACTATCACACAGATTCATCTCACATCTTTCATACAGAAAAGTTTCAGTTGACTCTTAATCATTTTCATGAGATTCTTATGTAATTATCACACAGATTCATCTCACAGATAAATCACTCTCTATGAGATCATTCTCATTAAAGAGAAGTATTTATGAGTTAATCTTTCACTTATTCTTATGAATCATTGTTTTTTAATACTGTAGAATTGTGAGGAATTTTCTATTCTTTCATCAACTCTGTAGAATTATAGAATTAAGATATTTATAGTCTGCAATCACTCTTTGTAGTCACATAGAAAGATTCAGATCTGTAATTCATAATTACTTTTTATTTACTAGAGTAATCTGACTGTTCTGCAGAATCATTCACAGTGTAAGTAAATCTCTCTAGAGTAGTATAAATATCTCAGATCTGTCTGTGAAATCTTATCTTCTTTTCTGTTTTTCTATAACAGCTCTTATTTTTATAAACTGTGAGTATTCTCATTTATCTGTGAAGTGTTTTCACTTAGATAACAGAGAGAGAGTGTTTCTGACAATATTCATATATTAATTCAAGAACTTCTCAAGAATAAAATTTTTTTTTAATTTTAATATCTTTATAAATAATGTCTGACTACTGCTGAGCTTCTTATAAGTATCTCTGCAACTTCTCTGATCACTTTTTATCAGCTGATGAAGTAGATATATCACTGCTTATAACAGTATCTTTATCTCTCTTAGCTTTGTCACTGCACTCAATCTTCAGATTAGCAGTTAACTTCATATCTTCTTCAGATCAGTTTCTGACTTTAAGTAGTATAGTCTCACTCTTTACTGTAAGTCTCTCTATAAGTAATTTCTTACAGATTCTAGTTAACAGTTCTTGCAAAGCTTCTGATATTATCAGTGTCTTCTACAGTTCTACAGATCTATAATCACTCTCTCTCTATCTGTATAATCTCTGATCAGATATATGTAAATATGTCTAGATTCTCTATCAATGATTCTCACACTGCAGTGCATTTCTGTAATTTTATTATCAATAAGAGATAAGTTCTCAGATATCTGTAAAATTCAGATAATCAAGACAATATGAATATCATGAATTCATAACAGAAGTTAATCTGAGTAGATAAGCTCTCTCTCTACATCTTAATTATTTTCAGACTGAATACTTCAGTATAACTGAGAAAGTGAACACAGCTTCATAAGAAGTATCTGATTACATACATAGATAATCAGCTCTCAAGACTCTGCTACAACTAGACTGGCCGGCGGGACCATGAATTTCACATTTGGTCCCATTTGGTCTGGTCTCATACATTTCTTGACGTGAGTCCCACCAGGACCAAGCCTCAAAAAAATCTGAAAATGGATCATTTCTGAGAGAAATGGTGTGAAAAATGACCAGATTTAATTCAAGAACAGTGAAATGAGAGTAATTTTCCAGAATAAACTGTGAAAGATGATCATTCTTTCAAAATCAGAATGGGACTGAGACTGAAGATTAAAATCAGTCTCATTCAGTTCATTCAGTGATTACTTATATAATCAGAATTTGATAACAATTATTGATAACACTCATGAAACAACTAAATATATTCTTGTGCAAGTTTATTCTTCACTTTCTTATAAAAACTACACTTCTCTGATATACTGTGATCAGAGGTATTAAACTG